GTTCGTACCTACAAAAAAAATAGCTGAGGATTATCGGATATAAGTTAAATGACTGATAAAATAATGGAGACAGGCATCCGCGAGCTATACTATGAAAATCAATTACATATTTGCATGCTTATGTTGCAGAAATATCACCGGAATTGCACCAAAAATGCAGAGGAAGTCATTGCAAAACAAATGAGATCTCAAAGCCAATATTCTCTGTACCCAAAGATTCTTGAAAAGTGCAAGGGTGAATTTTTGAGAAAATTCCAAACGGCCCAATTTCAGTTTGATTGCCACATCAGCTGTGATGAGAAGCAGACTTATTTTCAATAATTTCGAACATTTCCCCTTAATCAACATTCCAAACTTAAAGGTTAAATTTTCCCGTAAAATGGTAGGAAACTAAACTTCAAAACATGTAAACCAAATAAGGGAGAATTCGAAACGGTTTTGTAACTCACTCTGTTGGAGGAACACTTTGAAATTTGAGCGCGGAACGTGGTGCAGGTTGAGGAGCCCCTGTCGGTGATGAGTCCATACCAGGAGCTGGTTTTTTTGAAAGAACGAGAGTAGCTGGCTGGTTCTAAGAAGAAGAAGCGAGATGGCAATGAATGCTGATGGCATCGTAAGCAAGTTAATTTTCAAAAATTGCCTGATTTTGTCCGTCATGATGTATCACATGCCCATCGATGCTGCTTTTCTTAAGTTTCTGCGGCTTGGGGTGAGGCGTATCGTGTCGTTCAAACTGCCCAATTGGCAACTGAAGCAAAAACCTATTGAAGACAGAATCAATGGATGATACAAGCGTTGCAATACAGTACCTTGTCTTCGTCAACTGTAGCGTCTTGATCGGGGAAATGTACCTTCGGACCACCAACAAAGGACCGATTCTGACCAGCGCGATCTTAATTGACAAATATAGCGGCCGTGGCAGGTTAGTATTAAGATTTTAACAAGGTTTTCTGCTTTAAATCACATACTAGCGGCTATTTGCTTCCTGCCACTAGGACACACGATGTGGTACTGAATACCATAGCCTTTAACTTAAACAAAACATTCCAGGAGGGAGAGGGAGAGGGCATGAGGAGTGGAGGGGATGGGGGTAAGGGCTCAATATGTTGACAAAAAATGATACGATGATGTGGCCTTTACAACGAAATGCCTATCACTAGATAGAGGTAGCTTGAAACTCATTTGAAACCTTACTGAAATGTGCAAAGCTTTTTTCTGAGAACAGTTGAGTTTTGTTGCTAAGAACAGCGTGCACATACTCTTATTTAATATTTAAAAACTCTTTTGTGA